GATGTAAATACCCGGTACCTACAAAAAAATTGTCAGTTCAATATTTTAAAAATTAACATCTTTGAAAATTCGTTATAAAAGATTCAACCTTTATGGGACACAAAATAAGTTTGCTTTATCCGAAAATTCGCTATATCCGCGTTTGTTATATAAATTTTCGTTTTATATTTTTAGGAGGAACTGTTAAAATTTTGCCCCGGATTAAAAAAAAATTCCGCTTTATCTGTAATTTCACTATATCCCTGTTCGTACTAAACAAGTTTTATTGTACATGATTTGACTCTTCGTCATTTTTTTTTTAATTGAGGAAGAAATATATCAGTATTCTGAAAGGGAAAAAAACACTCTTGAATCAATATTTGAATCAATAGCAAAAATAACAATTTTTATTTTGCTTAAAAATATTACTGATTTAGATTTAGATTTTTGTTTACTCTGAAATTACATATTTTCGTAAAAGAATACATATCAATTTTTCGACATAGAGTTTTTTTTTTTATCAAGTATGACCTCTAAATGTATTAAGGGAGGAATAAAATATATAATTTACCTTGGAGTTCAAAAGTTTTCGTACGAAATGAATTTCAGATGTAAATACCCGGTACCTACAAAAAAATTGTCAGTTCAATATTTTAAAAATTAACATCTTTGAAAATTCGTTATAAAAGATTCAACCTTTATGGGACACAAAATAAGTTTGCTTTATCCGAAAATTCGCTATATCCGCGTTTGTTATATAAATTTTCGTTTTATATTTTTAGGAGGAACTGTTAAAATTTTGCCCCGGATTAAAAAAAAAATTCCGCTTTATCTGTAATTTCACTATATCCCTGTTCGTACTAAACAAGTTTTATTGTACATGATTTGACTCTTCGTCATTTTTTTTTTAATTGAGGAAGAAATATATCAGTATTCTGAAAGGGAAAAAAACACTCTTGAATCAATATTTGAATCAATAGCAAAAATAACAATTTTTATTTTGCTTAAAAATATTACTGATTTAGATTTAGATTTTTGTTTACTCTGAAATTACATATTTTCGTGCGGTCAAATTTTTGTGGTTTGAAGAAAAAATGTGGGTTTATGGGGATTTAATTTCGTGGATGAAGAATTGTTGATTAGTTATGTATATGACATTTTACATTTCGTGGTGAACATGAATTCGTGGGCTTCTTCATACCTCGAAAACAACAAAAATTAAATCATGAAAATTAGTGATTTCAAAGTAAGTGTTTAAGACGTAAAAGAAGTTTTTATTTGAAGAAACATCTTACACATATTATTGTATCCCAAATTTTATTTTATTTCGATTACAATAAAATGAACACCCTCGTCTGTGTATATACATGAATCACGTTTGTCTCTATAATATTTAGTTTTACAAGTAAAGTCGTTTTTTTTTTCCCCAAAAGTACCAAAAGCTATATCATGAGAGCAGTGGTGAGGTTTATTGTCCAAAAAAAAAAATTGAAATAAATCATACTTTATTGCATTAGAATTTTTCTTTCTTTTTGCTCTCTCTTTTTTTTAAATCAAAAATTACTGTACTTTCTTTTTTACACTGAAAGTTTACGTCAATTATTTCTCGTTTTCAACAGCAAAATCTACTATGTATAGGCTATCACTGAGAAATAAACAGATAAAACATGAGAACTAATTAAACATGAAAGTATTGTTTTAACAAGCAAGTGTGCTCCATCTTAGGAAAACAGTTATAATACATCTTTATTTAAGTCCGCAAGTGTCGTACCCCCCCCCCCCCGACCTCTTTAAATTGGATAAGAAATAGATATGGATTTCTTCCAACATTCTACTTGATAAGAAAATGGATATGAATTTCTATCAACATTCTATTTCAAGATACTGCATCAACAGCTAAACTTTTGAAAGTGTAAAATAAGCAATTCAAAGAGTATTTTACTTAACTTGAAAAGGATGAATTGCTTTAAGGCAGTCATATGTATCATTTTCAATCCCAACTGAGTTTAATATAGATGCTAACGCTATTTTGTGTCAAACCGCTGGGGTTTTTTTTTAATAAAAAGATCATTTATTTATTTTTTTATCACTAAATACCAAATGAATTGCCGTGCATTACAAATCATTTCAGTAACAAATAGCCTATATAACAACACTCTCATGTAGGGATCAAGAAATTCCAGATGTGGAAATCAACTAAAAGATGTATTCTATTTAAAAGAATAATTGGACATATTAAATGAATGAATATCAAGGATAAATGAATAACAATACAGGCCAGTAGCCAAAAAACAAATAAATAAACTGTCCAAACTTACAACAAATTATATTTCGGAGGGAAGGGGGGTTCTAATTATTTTTTCTTTCAAATGCTGAAATATGGGTATGTTTGACTGTACTGCACACAAATTGGGAGAAGGGGGAGGGAGGGGGTAGGGAGCAGCATCTACATAATAATTTACATATGAAAGCTACACCAAAAAACTATTATCACTAACCACCAGTTTATTTTTTTTCTTACATAATAAAATAAAAAGAGGGAGTACATGTAAATTAAGGGAATGAAAAAATAATAAATATTTTTTTTATATATATCAGGAGTAAAAATCCCTGTAAAACGCCATATTTCGCTAAAAAACGTAATTAAAAAATAAATTATAAATTGCTTATCTGCTGAAAGGTTTTAAAGTTTATATTAATTCCTTATGAAATATTTTTAAATAAATATTTCTTCTATAAATCGATCATATATAGGAGCTTTTTAAAAATATCACTGGGACATAGGTTTAAAAAAATTATTTTTAACAAAATCAATTAAACCCTCTTTAAAAGTAAAAGATAATTTTCACACCTCTGCCCCAAGAGTGAGAACAATAGGGACAGTACTTTTCAGTAAATGTCAGCACATGTCTAAGTTTTTCAAAAGGGACAGCAAAACGGATCAGTAATTATCTAAATTCATCAGCACCGACTAAGATTATCAGTAGTAAAGAGGTCAGTAATTGTCTAGGTTTTGCAGTAAAAACAGCACATTAACAGTAATTGTCTAAGTTTGACAGTTAAAATGTGAATGTCAGTACGTTTCCAATCTTGTAGTGTACTTAGATATGGGAAAATTTGGGAACCCCCCCCCCCCCTTCGTCCATCGAACTCAAAAACATACATCAAACACCTTCATACTCCTGGGACTTATAAATAGGACTGATATCTGTTTGTCTTTCAATGATGGTATTTCAAGATAAAAAGTGCAGAGATGTAGAGAAAGAGATAGAGTACTGTGTTAAGAATTGTGACGTGTCAAGGATACAAGACATAAAAGTATGCAAGAGTGACAGCGCCGAGTGGCCATAGATTGAATTTTTGATTTGAGTTTCTTATGCTATATAGCAGGAACTTAAACATATTTTAGTACTGTGTCATCTGCACAGTATAAGTACTTAACAAATAACTTTGATCTGTCTGTTTCAAAAAAAAATATATCTTTCATCTGGTATTCGTTTTTACATAATCTCTTCCCAAAATCGGTATATTAAACTCACCTAGAAGAGGATTTTCCTCTGTTTTGCAAAGTCAAAATAGTTCGGCAAACTTTATTTGCATATTTCGAGAAAGAAAAAACACCAAGAAACCCACAAGACAGATAGTATGGAGAAAGTTGGAATACAAATACAAAAGGTCATAGTTTACGTATTTTTATTGAAAATAGTTTGGCACAATTAAAAAGTACAATAATATATGTATTATAAAATTATTTAAGTGTAAACATATAAAATAACAATATGTGCATGTAGTTAATAAATGCAACACACAAAATATTAGCTGCCATTTCATCAAGTCTATATCAATAACAGGTTTATATATACAACATGTGGATCAGACATTGCATGTGTCACCATGTTGTTGTTCTTCCGATGATAGTTCTATCTTAACTAAGCAATGTTCTGTAGTTTCCTCCTTTAATGGTGTGTTTTCAGTATCTTTATTTGTATTGTCATGAGGGTTGGACCCTGAAATAATTAAATTACAAAATTTGAGACGTGTCAACGTATATAAACCATTCACGGTAGCTCAGTCGGTAGAGCGCTCGCTCCGTGATCGGGAGGTCGTGAGATCGAATCTCGGCCGCGACAGACCTAAGTCGATAAAAAATAGATAGCAACTGTTCCTTCGCCATGCGCTCGGCACTCTGAAGTGAAAGTTGCGGGTCCTTCGGATGAGACCTTAAAAACCGAGGCCCCGTGTCACGGCAGGCGTTGGCACGATAAAGATCCCTCACTGCTCAATGGCCCTGAGTGCCGAGTAAAGGTCAAAATTTGAAGCCTTTCACCGGTATATGGTGACGTCTCTATATGAGTGAAAAATTCTCGAATGGGACGTAAAACAATATACAATCAATCAATCAATCAACGTATATATATATATATATATATATATATATATATATATATATATATATATATATATATATATATATATATATATATATATATATATATATATATATATATATATATATATATATATGTAGAAGAGAAAGTAATTTAATCTATTTCATCAGATAATGAAATAAGCAGATAAGCAAATAACGATTAAGACGCATTTTTCAATGAATCTTACTTTTTTCTCTCTTCCAAAATCTGCAACTCTTTGACAAGATATCTGAAAAATTGCAAAATAAAGTTCCTTGAAAACAAACTTATATTTAGTCATTGTATTTGATACATTCGTTTCTCCTCCAAATTAGATGCATTTAAAGATATAACAATTATATCTGCACGTACCTTCTATAAAGAAACATTCTTTCCTCGAACGTTGTATCAGACATATCAGAACACAAACTATGATAGCAGCAAATCCAATACTGATGGGGATGCTGCAAATTAAAAATATTTGATTTTTTTATTCGTTTGATATTTAAAAAAATAACATATCAAATGTTTAATTTTCGGTAAAACATGTCATAATTTAATTTGGCGTGTGTCCTCTACATCTGCAGAAAAACAAGAATTAATTACATTGTCTCGATATCCAGATCAGATTTTTGTTCTTGTTCTGTTGACACCTGTTTCTGATTCGAAAGTGCTAATGGTGTTATACTATCTGTTGTGATAGTGGTCTCTACAGTAGATGGCGTAGTAGTGACCACAGGTCTGCTTGTTTTACGTACATTTGAGACTAAATCGTAGCACTCAGGATCTACACATGGTAAAGAAAAATAAAATTAAAAAAAACCTTCATTCAGTATCTCTAAATCAATGTTTTATACAAATATACGATAAGTTTATTTTAAAACTTGTAATATATGTTAAGCAGAAGACGCAGTTCCGAAATATTTCTCTTCTCCTTAGTTAATACAATTATTTTCTCTACCAACATAAATGTCAAAGTAAAATTAAACTTACACTTAAAGCTCTCGTTAGAGTTATAAAAGTTTGGGCATCCATGGCATGTTGCGTTTGCGTTGCGCTGTATCATGGACCCACCAAAACTGTATTCTGCACATACCTTTCCTAATAAAATTATCGTAACATTACAATATTGCATTAAAAAATAAGCCATCGTACCGTAGATATAAACTGAGAAAATTATTTTACGGCATGATGCAGCTCTCACCTATGATAAGTTTTCTTGTTGCACACACTTCTATTGTTTCATTCATAAACGCATTTATAACACAGTGGTATTCAAAGTGACAAGATGTAGAATGTTTGATGGTATTGCATCCTTTCCTTGCTGCCGCTTTTTCCCACTCCCTAGATGTTCTTGGGCAGCTGTCAACACGTACTGCAGTTTTCTTTGATTCTGATTCTTTACATTCCTCACCATTTATATATATCTATAGAATGAATGATTCATGAACATCAAAATATTCAAATGGATTAAAAACAAAAAATAACCATTACATTAATTACATTAATATTTCAATTTTCTATTGCAATAAGCAACTGGTACTTTCCTACATGTAAACTATCGGTATTTTCACTTTTTTCTAAAGGCGACATACAATATTTATAACTGATTAATGCATATCATTTTGTTAAATGTTTGTTATCTTACCGTTGATACTGTGAGCAAACCAAATGCAGTAGCCACTGTGGTGAATGATGTGAAATGCATCTTCATCTTCATAATTGAAATGAAAAAATCCTAAAAAAAAGAAATTATTATCTCAAAGCATTTCTAAAATATATTAAGGGGAGAATGAAAATCAATTAATAGTTATTTATATTGAGAGTTAAATGCAACCTTACTATGGAGATCACTGAGCGTATCCCACCAAATTTGCGGTTTTGTGGTTTGGATGTTTATATCAGACTAACTAAAACTAAACTTGCAGGTTAAGATATATGAACTGGGCATATCCGGTAGCGGCAAAAATGTGTCATTCATAATCTGTGTCTTGTCGGGTATTTCCATTATCTCACCATTTAAAAATAACGTTTGACTTTCTGTAAAATAAACCTTGAAGAGGGACTACACCATTAAATACCGTAAATACATAAATGCTGTTAGAAAAAATATAAAACACCTGTAGGTTTAAACGTATTCTTACCGTGTAATTAATCTTCAGTATATACGCAGACATACCCATGCATCGCCTGTTTAAAATATGATTTATCTAAGTAAAAATTATTTACATGGAATTTTCTTTAAATAGTATATATTCAGAGAAAGGCATGTGCAGATGCAATTTGTTTTCTTTGCTTAACAGTTTTCATTTATTATAATTTTTGAAACATCCCTTTTTTTATTTACTCATTTGTTTATTTTTTTCCAGTCACACTCATTTTTGCCCTTCAACTTTATGCTCTAAACATTTTTTATACCCGCACTTTCTAAAGAAAGTTCGGGTATATCGTTGTTACTCATGTCTGTCCGTCCGTCCGTCTGTCACACTCTTCTTTCTCAAACTCCTCTTACATTTTACACAGTAGCCTAATCATCTTTTGGGAGATGGTTAGTGGTGTCATGTAGATGTGCAGTAAGTTTTCGGAATTTTCATTTTCACCCGGGGGGTCAAATGGGGGTCGAAAAATGACGTTTTTTATGCAAAAAGCCCCTGGTTCCCTATACTCCTCTTACATTTTACACAGTAGCCTAGTCATCTTTTGGGGGATGGTTAGTGGTGTCCTGTAGATGTGCAGTAAGGTTTCGCGATTTTCATTTTCACCCTGAGGGTCAAATAGGGGTCGAAAAATGATATTTTTATGCAAAAATCCCCTGGTTTCCTGAACTCCTCTTACATTTTCCACAGCAACCTAATCGTCTTTTGGGAGGTGGTTTGTGGTGTCATGTAGATGTGCAGTAAGGTTTTGGAATTTTCATTTTCACCCTTGGGGTCAAATGGGGGTCGAAAAATGACGTTTTTTTTTAATGAAAAAAGCCCCTGGTTCCCACAACTCCTCTTACATTTTACACAGTAGCCTAATTATCTTTTGGTAGATGGTTAGTTGTGTCCTGTAGATGTGCAGTAAGGTTTCGGAATTTTCATTTTCACCCGGTGGTCAAATGGGGGTCGATAAATGACGTTCTTTATGCAAAAAGCCCCTGGTTCCCAGAACTCCTCTTACATTTAACACAGTAGCTTAATCATCTGTTTGGGGATGGTTGGTGGTGTCATGTAGATGTGCAGTAAGGTTTTGGAATTTTCATTTTCACCCTTGGGGGTCAAATGGGGGTCGAAAAATGACGTTTTTTATGCAAAAAGCCCCTGGTTCCCTGAACTGTTCTTACATTTTACACAGTAGCCTAATCATCTTTTGGTAGATGGTTAGTTGTGTCCTGTAGATGTGCAGTAAGGTTTCGGAATTTTCATTTTCACCCTGGGGGTCAAATAGGGGTCGAAAAATGGCGTTTTTTATGCAAAAATCCCCTGGTTCCCAGAACTCCTCTTACATTTTACACAGCAACCTAATCGTCTTTTGGGAGGTGGTTGGTGGTGTCATGTAGATGTGCAGTAAGGTTTTGGAATTTTCATTTTCACCCTTGGGGGTCAAATGGGGTCGAAAAATGACGTTTTTTATGCAAAAAGCCCCTGGTTCCCTGAACTGTTCTTACATTTTACACAGTAGCCTAATTATCTTTTGGTAGATGGTTAGTTGTGTCCTGTAGATGTGCAGTAAGGTTTCGGAATTTTCATTTTCACCCTGGGGGTCAAATAGGGGTCGAAAAATGGCGTTTTTTATGCAAAAATCCCCTGGTTCCCAGAACTCCTCTTACATTTTACACAGCAACCTAATCGTCTTTTGGGAGGTGGTTGGTGGTGTCATGTAGATGTGCAGTAAGGTTTTGGAATTTTCATTTTCACCCTTGGGGGTCAAATGGGGTCGAAAAATGACGTTTTTTTTTAATGAGAAAAGCCCATGGTTCCCAGAACTCCTCTTACATTTTACACAGTAGCCTAATCATCTTTTGGGAGATGGTTGGATGTGTCCTGTAGATGTGCAGTAAGGTTTCGGAATTTTCATTTTCACCCTGGGGGTCAAATGGAGGTCGAAAAATGATGTTTTTTATGCAAAAATCCCCTGGTTTCCTGAACTCCTCTTACACTTTACACTGTAACCTAATCATCTTTTAAGAGATGGTTGGTGGTGTCTTGTGGATTTGCAGTAAGGTTTTGGAGTTTTCATTTTCACCCTTGGGTCAAACAGGGGGAAAAAAATAACGTTTTTTATGCAAAAAGCCCCTGGTTCCCAGAACTCCATCTGGGAGATAGTTGGTGGTGTCCTATAGATGTGCAGTTAGGTTTTGGAATTTTTATTTTCCCCCTGGGGGTTAAATGGGGGTCACATCTTTTTTAAAAAAAATATTTAACATATTTAAACACCCTGGTTTCCAGAACTTCCCTTATATTTTATGCACTAGCCTTAAATCATGATCATTTGGAAGATCATTGATTTTGTCCTGTGGATGTGTAAAATGGTTTTCAAATTTGCATTTCCATGTGGATAGCAAATAGGGGCAGGAAAAAAATGGCCCCTCCCTAACCCATGGGGTCATGATTTGTACAAACCTGAATCTACACTTCTTGGGAATGTTTCCATATTAATCATGCTTTTGTTGTTCTTAAAAAGAAGAATTTTGAAGATTTTTTTTCCCTTTTATTCCTATATAAAACATTGATTCCTTATTGTGGCCTGACCCTATCCTCAGGGGTCATGATTTGAAAACTAGAAATATGACCATAGGACATAAATGCCCCGCCGAATGTATATTACTAATGCAACATGAAAATTTCTATGAGTGTATGAAGTTTGATGAGAATATCTTGAACAGTTTCTTTAAAATTAAAACTAAAATCTAAAAAAAAAAGTGGATATAGATGATAAATTCTCACCAAATTATGCATTAAGTGCATGCTTACATAAAAATATCTTTAAAACTAAGCAAAATACAAATTAAAGAGAAGGGGGGTCAAGGTCACAGGAAAGTGCAAGGTGAAAAGTGGATAGCTCTCACTAATGCATATCAGCATATTAGGTTTGATAAGAATATCTTGAATGATTAATCTAAAACTGAGCTTAACACTTACTTAAGAAAAGAGAGGTCAAGGTCAAAGGAAAGGTTGAGGTCAAAATGTTGATGCAGTTGAAAAGCTTACATCAGTATGTATTTACTATTGGCATATGAAATTCGATGAACATATCATAAATGGTTTATTTAAAACGTAGATAAACATTAATTTAAAAAAGTGAGGTCAAGGTCAAGGGAAAAGTCAAGGTCAAAAAAGTTGATGCAATTGATAGCTCTCAGCAGTATATATAGGCATATGAAGTTTGATAAATATATCTTGAATTGTTTATTCAAAACCGATCTAGACACTAATTTAAGGAAAGTAAGGTCAAGGTTAAAGGAAAGGTCAAGATCAAAAAGGTTGATGCAGTTGAAAAGCTTACATAAGTATGTATCAGCATATCACGTTTGATTGAAGTCGGGCATGTCAAACACTATATGCCTCGGCATATTCATGGCAGGGCATAAAGAACTTGAATCTACACTATATGAGGATTTTTCCATATCAAAATGACTAACGAGCAAATTCAAAGAGTTGTGGTCCCCTGCTTTCCGTGTCCTAGGGGATGGGATGCCATTATTTATGACATATTGATTCAAATATGCACGCCCTATCATATGTCATTCAAAAGTAATCACCAAAGTTAAAAATTTTGAAAATTAGGTAAAACATCAAGGTCAAGGGGTAAAAAAAATAATAGCATCCTCGGAAACATCTTGTTACAGGTAATGCACATGTCAATATTAAAGTCCTATCTCTTCTCAATCAAAAGTTATAAGGAAATATAACATTTTTGAAAAGTAGGTTAAACTTCAAGGTCAATGTCACAGAGTCAAAAGTCATGATATATTTAGAAAGGTCCTACCACAGGTAATATACATGTATAATATAAAAGCACTATCTTTTCTCTTTCAAAATGATCAATTTAAAATAATGTTAATTTTTTTTTAAAAGTAGGTCAAACTTCAAGGTCAAGGTCATGGGTTTAAAAATCAT